TATCTATCTTTATATCTCTCTTTCCACCTATAGAGAAAGAGTATATACGTATAAATGAGCGGTACAGTGGTATTCTGACCTGGTTTTCGAAGCTTGGTTATAGTATCAAAGAAGCCAAGAAGAATATACCTTGTTCGGCGTCCAGACTTGGTACCAAGTCCACAGTTCGGCGCTGAAATTCACCATGGCTACTAAGGCAGAGTATGTCGGACAAGGCATATTCTTCAAGTTTGCCATGACACCATGACCGAGTTACGAAAATAAGGTAGAGCAAAAGTTGACTGTGGCCAAAGTCGAGGCTACCATCTTGACAATCGGAAATGGCATTAAACTGACCGGACGATTTGGCTCAACTGAGCCATAAGCGCGGCCATCTTCTTGGTGGCCACAATCAGCTCGTTGTCGCGGCTGGACCATTGACGAGCCTCTTGATGCAGGGCGTGTGCGGCAGCCTAAGAGTTCCATGTCGCGGGTGAGACGCCGAAGCGAGAGGTTCAGGCAGATGGGGGAGAAATGAATGAAGAGAGAAGGGAAGAGTGGCAAACGAGGGGATGCAAAGGGGAGAAATTGTGAGAATATGTTTTTTTACACTTTTGGTATCATCGCAATGAAATAGAACACTTAAATGGAATTGAAATGAAGGATTTGTAAACTTGGTCGGTAAACGATTTAGGAAGACGCAGAGAGGAAAACTAATAAAGCAATCCGGCAAAAGCCACTTAAAAAGGGTGTATGTAAACCGAGAAGTAGATGGGCCTCAAAAGAGTAAGGCAAGGAAGGGTGTGACGAGCAGAAGCTATGAATAAAGGTCGAGAATAGGAGACAGACACAGCAAAACACACCAGAACACCGACAGTCAGGCCAAGTGTCTTATAACACAATAAGTTCCAGACGTATGCCTGTGCAGGGAGCAGACAAGAGAGAGGGAGTAGCGCTTATGCCGTTAAGCGAAAAGAAGATACAGAGAAGATTGGCATGATGCAAATAAAGATGGGCTTTGAGAGATCGCTTGCTTTCATTTGTGAAGAAAGTGTGTGTGAGTGTGTCTGATGAAGGGACTCGAAGTTCAATCCCACGATTTGGTTTAACCGAAACATTCTTGCAGACACTAACGACGAGGCAATCTTTTTCGATTCCTGTCAAAATGTATTAATATATGCAAAGAAAAGTTGACTTTCGAGGAATAATTTGTTTCATAATTGTTATGCTTACTTCCATTTCGAGAAAAATTATTTAAATAAGAGATTCGAAGGTCGATTCGACCAGAAGGCAAATGCGGATTCCTCTTGACCAGCTTCGATTGGCTTTACTGGAACACTCATGCTGACGCTGTTTCCGAGGCAATCATCTTCGATTCCGATGAAAGGATGCTACGCTTTCGTCCGTCATATGACGAACATCATCAGATCAAGGTATCAGCATCAACCAAAATCAAGCTAACGGGTCAAGAAAACTCACCGGCAAATCCCTAAAAAGTGGTATATATACTCTACATCTGGCCTCTTGGATCAAGTATAAAGTGATTTGGTTTGGAAACAGCGTCAGCATGAATGTTCCAGTAGAGCCAATCGGCAGCTGATCAAGAGGGATCCGACGTTTTCTTCTGGTGGAACCGACCTTCGAATCTTTTCACTAAACACATTCACTCGAAATGGAAGTAAGCACAACAATTTTGAAACTCAACTTTTCTTTCTATATCATTCTTACAACCATATTCGGGCAAATGATAAAAGAAAAGTTGCCAGTATCTCTCAAAATGCTTTATATATACCCTAAATATAAGCATTTTGATGAGGTATAAGGTGATTTGAGTATAGAAGCATGAGTGTGCGTTTGTATTTATGTGACCATGTGTCTTCAGGTGTATGCACATTTGTATGAAACCAGCAGTGATGGCTCAAAGTAGTCAGAATAGAGCGTACCATGTGCGCCCAGACATCAAGGCTTGATGACCACTACTCCCGTAGACCTACATTTTTCTATTTTAATCATTACTCCAATTGCGTAATGTAGGACTAGTTCGAACCGGGCTATTCATTACGTAATCTGAACTATACAGAGATATTCTCATCTGCCAGACGGACTGAAGGAGAGTTGGACGATGACATCAAACCCTTAAGAAGCATGTAAGTAGGGATGGCAAGAAATGGCCTACCATGATTGGCTGATTGTCCTCGGGTGGAGGGAAGTTGAATTCCTCCTCGACGTCGGTATCTGGGGTACCGGGGCGACGAGTTTCTGCGGCACGAGTCCGATTGGAGTCTGACAAGGTAGGCGGGGCAAATGTGAATACGCATGAAAATAAGAAAAATATAGTGACAAAAAAGGAGGTAGATACGGGACACAGATGATGTAGGGAATCGGGGCTCAATTTGACTGATCAAGATGCGAAACTGGCCAACTTTCACCATCCGCCCGATAGGCAGACGGCTGAGGTTTTTGGGATGAAGCTGAAGCTGTATTCGACTAGTTTGGTCGACCACAAAGTATATGAGAATGATCACTAATTCCATGATCAAGTTGCATCTGTCGTACAACGAGTAAGCAGATATGACGATATTCGAACAATAGAAATCAACGCATTTGTCTGCCCGAGAAAAAGATTTGGAGCCGAAAATTGGTAGGGCAATACAATATAAATAAGGTA